ACATACAGAGCCTTCAAGTGAACCGGTTCGTCCGGCTGGGCCCCGACGGACAGTGACGCATGTACCCACACCTTCAGCGACTGAAATCTCCCCGGCTCGACGTCCAGCGTCTTCAGCCAGTACGCGCCATACGGCTGCCACCGACCCAGAGTTTAGCAATTTTGGAGACAGCAGCGATGGTGCGCCGTATGCCGAAGTCTTCGCGACCCTGCATTCTTTAGATCACGAGGAGCGTCCTCTGGTCGGGTCGTGTGGTATCATTCGCGTCCTCGAGCGTGGGCGGGTGGTGACGGTTACGAGGGAGTATGACTCCACCAGCGAGTCATCTCCTCTGCCAGAAACTGAAGATTTTAAGGATATCTCCACTTCGAGGGATACCCGCTCAGCTGACCGTCGTTCAAGCCTGGGGCCGCAAGGACCGCAATTCCCCTGGGAGCGTCGGAGAGGTTACGAAGAGTATGAGCAGTATCCAACCTCACCTTGGGCACAATCGCCTGCGCCGTCTCCGGCTATTCAGATAGATGAGGACGCGAACCCCTTCTTCCCTGTCGAGGATACTCGGGTTGAAGATTCATTTGCGCCGACGACCGCCACGCCAAGGGACTACTCTCAATTTGCCCAGGTGGAAGCCATTGGCGTGGACAAGGCTAGTACCGTCATTCACATTCCACTCGTGCATCCCACGCTCTCACAGCCGATGCAGTCGTTTAGGGTGAAGCAGCCCAAGGACCGCCATGCGCCGCCTCAACTGAGCAACACTTTGGATCTTGAGAGGAAGTCGCCCATAGCCATTCTATCGCTGCTGAGCTCGACAGTACCGTATCCCAGTAATCTCACCCGCGCTCTTGAACTGCTGGCGCCGCACCTTGCCACGTCTTTCTCCGTTGCCCAGCAGTTCTCTTCAATGCACATTCAAAATGTCTCCATCAAACACCGTCGCACAACCTCGGGCCATATTGCAACCGCTGCTCCCATGGTCATTGCACCCACAGCCCTGGACTATCCTACTCGCTTCCACATCGAAGAGTTCAATGCGTCCACGTCGGGCAGCATTGCTAGCCCGTCTGACTATTCTGGTCGCTCCAGACACAGCCCAATGGGCTCGGTTCCTGCTACGCCGGTTTGGGATTCACTCCCGCCTGGATGGTCTGCAAACCGGTCTCGCGCCGGCACTCCGCTTTTGTCGGGGTCGGAAATAGTTGACAGCTACTTTGAGGCCAAGAAACGAGGAGCGGCTCAACGGACCAGCAACGGTGGATCAGTGTCTCAGGTGACCCCAGCCAAACCGCCCATGTCTGCTGGTAAGGGTCACCCAGATGACGCAAAGTCACCACACAGCGAACAAAAGCACAGAAATAACGGCTCGGCCAAGGATGAGCGCTCGTGGAGGATGCATGCATTGGACATGAACATCAGCCCAACTTCCAATGCCGATGTTGGTAAAGCGCCGCGATCTGCCCTTCGCTCGCTGATATCAAACGTCACTGAGCAAGATCAGCCAACCCATCGTCATTCCCTGTTGCACTCGTACGGAGCTGACTTTGAGGCGTCGTTTGGTACGATTAGCAGCGCCCATATGAGGAACCAGTCGTTCTCCGAGGACATGCCACCGCCTTCAGAGCGTCTGTTGCGGACAATCATTGACGCTGTGCCGGTGCAGATCTTCACAGCCAAGCCCAATACAGGTCAGATCTCGTGGGTGAATTCCAAGTTCCTCGTCTACCGAGCTCAAGAGCCCAAGCAAGTGCTTAAGGAGCCTTGGCAAGCCATCCATCCTAATGATAGGCTGGAATTTCTGTCGAGTTGGAACAGGTCACTGCGATCCGCCCAGCAGCTGCAGCAAAAGGTTCGTTTGCAGAGATTTGACGGGAGCTTTCGCTGGTTTTACGTCCGGGCCGCTCCTCTCAAGGACAGAAATCAGAGGATTGTTCACTGGATTGGCACAATGATGGACTTTCACGAACAGCACCTTGCCGAGCTCAATGCAACTCGGCAGCAAGAGACGGCGGCTTCAGAGGCCAAGTATCGTGCTTTGGCAAATTCTAGTCCGCAGATTGTCTTTGCGGTTAATCGAGCCAAGGGCGTGATATTCTGTAACTCGCAGTGGGTGCATTATTCAGACCAGGCAGAGGCTCAGGCTCTGGGACTTGGTTTCATGAACCACGTGCACCCGGGGGATCTGTCTAAGTGCGCTCTTCCCTTGTGGGATGACGTGAGTAAGTTGAATGTGCCGTCCAAACGACCAGAAACCGTGTCGAGCTCGTCTAGTGTGTCGTCTGAAAACACTGAACGGCCTCTGGTGAGTCCCGGAACGACAGCTGACGGCAAACGCTTCGACCGCGCTGTTCCTGAGAGGCCTAGAATCACTAGAGATGCTGACGGACGGCCATCATACTCTACAGAGGTTCGGCTACGGGGCAAGGAGGGAGACTATCGCTGGTTTCTCGTTCGTGTTCTTCTCGCTGAGCCGATGCTGCAGAATTCCAAGGAAGAGGAGATCTGGTATGGGACTTGCACCGACATTAATGATCACAAAACTCTCGAGCGCGATCTCAAAACGGCAATGGATGAAAAGTCGCGCTTTTTGAGCAACATGTCGCACGAGATTCGAACTCCGCTGAATGGAATCATGGGCATGGTCAACTTTCTCATTGACAGCAACCTCAGCTCGGAGCAGATGGAGCATGTCAATATCATTCGTTCCAGCACAGAGGGTTTGCGGGGGTTGATCAATGACATTCTTGATCTGTCTAAGGCTGAGGCCGGCATGATTCAGCTCAGCTACGAGTGGCTGTATATTCGCGCGCTGATTGAAGAAGTCAACGACTTGACTTCGGCTCTTGCTATTGACAAAGGGCTAGAGCTGAACTACACGGTTGAGGGAGACGTCCCGGCGCAAGTCAAGGGAGATCGCTTCAGGATCAGACAGGTGTTGCTGAATATCATTGGCAATGCAATCAAGTTTACGGATGAGGGTGAGGTTTTCGTCAGATGTAGCTTGATGCCGGATAAAAGTGGTCAATTACCGCCAAGTGACATGTACATCAAGTTTGAGGTCGTCGATACTGGCCGTGGATTTACCGAGAAGGAGGCCGATCACCTTTTCAAGCGGTTTAGTCAGATTGACGGTAGCAGTACTCGTCAACACGGCGGTACTGGCTTGGGGCTGGTTATATCAAGGCAGTTGGTTCAGCTACACGGCGGTGATTTGAGTGCTAAATCGGCGCCTGGAAAAGGATCTACTTTTGCGTTTTATATCCGCACCACGGTACCGTCTGATAAGGACAAGCCGCCTTATGCGGTGCCAACTCCGCCGCCTTTGCTCCAATCTCCGGAGCCAGTGCAAGCATTACGTCCTTCGCGGCAGGAATTATCTCCGCGCACATCGTATCCATGGCCAGATTCGGCGTTAACTGCGCCTTCTTCTGGAGGCTCCAGTCTGTCTCTGATGCCCACTAGCAGTGTAGGCTCAACCCGCTCTTCTGCGTCATCTGTTACGCAGTATCTTCCGAGCAGCGACGGAATTGAATTGGCCATGCCGTCTAACGCGAAGCCAGCTCCAAAATCCGAGCTGGTTCCACTCAGCGCTGGACAAACGCCTCCCATGTACTCCATCATGATCCTCTGCCCATTGAAATACAGCCGTCAAGCAACCGTCACACATATCGACAAGACCTTACCAAGAAGCATACCCCACCAAATCACCTCCCGCGAACATTTACGGGAATGTGAAGAAATGCTCCAAGGCGACGACCCTGTAAGGTTCACGCACATCGTAGCCGTCCTCAAAGATATCGACGAAATCATCGCCCTCATAAACCTCATCATCCCCTCACCCCGCCACTCCGGCACATCTGTCATCATAATCACCGACCTCGCCCAAAGACGCAAAATCATGGAACAGGCACCACAGTACGACTACGAAAGACTCTCCTCTTCTCGGCGATTACAGTTCGTTTTTAAACCGCTGAAGCCCTCCCGCTTCGCAGTGGTCTTTGACCCCCACCGCGAACGTGAAATGAGCACCGATCGGAATCAGGATAGTGCGCAGCAGGTCGCCTTCACGCAGAAGCAGGTGTTCGAGGAAATGAATCGCCGCCTGGGCGGTAAAGGGAAGAGGGTTCTCCTCGTCGAGGATAATCGTGTCAATCAAATCGTATGTCGTCCCTATATCCGCGATTGTCACCATCAAATGGAATCAAAATGTCACAACCTAAAGGTCCCAACCGACCGTGAGTGACATCTTGATCCCTAGGTGACAATCCCCCCCCCCCCCCCCTCCAAATCCCCACTAACAAACATCCAGGTGATATCGAAATTCATGTCCAAATCCCACATCGAACTCGATACCGTCTCGGACGGAGTCCAATGTACTCAACTCCTCTTCTCTCGTCCTCATGATTACTACTCCGTCATCCTCTGCGACCTCTTCATGCCAAACAAAGACGGCTATCAAACCTGTACCGAAATCAGAACCTGGGAGAGGGAGAACCGCTTCGCGAACCCACTCAAAATTGTCGCCCTCTCGGCGAATGTCCTAGGCGATGTGCAGGATAAATGCGTTGAGGTCGGGTTTGATTATTATCTGACCAAGCCGGTCGAGTTTGGAGAGTTGGGGCGTGTTCTGCTCGGGTATATGGATGGGTAGGGATACTTCGCGGTAGGGATGTTTTGGACCATAAGGTGACGTAAGGAGAGAAGTTAGGCATGCTTCGCGGGTGTATTACTTTGTGGGTATAGCTAGCGGGTGTTGGGTCTGGGTGAGATCTTTGCAGGGGTAGAGGAAAAGTTTGTATTATGCATTGAGTCTTAGGGATTTCCTGCGATATTACTATTTTAAGACTACGGATTATGATTTCACTGTGATGAAAACTGACACGGTAGTTTGGACATTGATTGACACGACATAGATTGACGGAAGTTGTGACAGACTGGCATGGAATTTAACGCCTTAATCTAGTGGTATTTGTATATTACATCCTAGATTGTGTGATAAGTAAGACACTTTGGCGGAGTGGTTAACGCGCTGCCCTGCTATTTGTTCGACAAGGCAGTGTCTTCGGACGCGCAGGTTCGAATCCTGCAGGTGTCGCTCATTTTTTTTACATTCAACCAACAAAAAGCAAAGTCTGCTTGTTCTTTTGGGAAAGCAGTTGTCGGGGTGGGTTGATGGGAGCTAACGTATCATAGGCTTACTACTTCATTCTCACCACCAGACAGCATCCACCTGACCCACATTTGAAAGTTATTATTCGCCAACGGACAGAGGCTGAGAGAATGTAAATCATGAAATTCCACCACGTCATTCGGCGGTGTTCCCTTCGCAAGGCCACCGCACGTACACACTAACCCCTAAGATTGGATTGGTGCGGGAAGAAGGGATTTGTGACGCTGCGCAGCAGCTCTGGGCTCGCTACGCTCGCCAACGTGCAAGCCGGATAGACCTTTCCAAGCGCAACAAGCGCCATGTTGCTCTTCACGTCAAAGATAGATGTGTGGAATTTGGTACCGCGGCGGATATCGGTATCGGTGATTTGACTGACCCTGGTGCGCTGGAGCGCTGAAGCGCCGAGACGAAGATGTACAGGCCGAAACGCCAATGGCCTAAAAGCGGAGGTGATATGGGAGACTTTATCGTCTTGGTGAAGGTTATGAGTAGTTCTTTGAGTTTTGGTGATGTAAATTCGTCCAGACGATGGGTCACTGAGAGTTTGAGAGTCGGATACTTGCCCGCCAGGCTTGGAAGGTAGATGGATTCGGTGGACATTTCGCCCCCATTAGATAGATTTTGCAACTCGTTTCCTTTTCCGTGGTTCCGATTGCAGACGGAGCGTTGATCGCTTTGCTAAGAAGGGTTGATTGCTGGGCTTCGTTGACCCAGTTGTCACGCTCGATAAGATGAGACGCGATCATAGCCATTGTATTGATGTTGGTCGACGTACTCTAGCTGAGGAAAGCGATATGTTGGTGAGCATGAACCACTGGTTTGTGCGGCAGCTCCGAACGCTGCTCGGGGCCAGGGAGGGCACGTTCTTCATTTTATTTATTGGAGTGAGGAATATGTTCTTGAAAATGATGTGAACGGACCGAACGGTCAACAATGTTCCTTTTGGATTTCACCGCTCCCCATCCAGTATGCAAAGAGTCGCAGTTCCTAGACCTAGTTAGCGTAGATGCCTATTTCCAGGCCAGAGAGCGCAATGGGCTCGACGCTGTGACATAAGACACTTAGTGGGCCCCGTTGATTGTCATGACGTGGTATAGGACAGCGTTGGCATCCTCTCGATGATCTCGAGGTAGACTTCCTAAAGGAATAAGGAAGTTCAATGGGCGCTTGCGAGAACCGTCGTGCGGTGCGGTTACCTGACCGTGAAGGCATCTTCGCGGTTGCTATGAGGGAGAAAATGATGTAGATAGACTGTAAAGATGAAGAGAGGTATGGTGTGTGAGGAAAAGCTGAGGGAATTATCGTGAGTCTGGGAAGGGACTCTTATGTAGCGGAGTATGTACTGGAGTGATTCCGTTGAGGTAGGATAGCTGACTTGCTCCTCAAGCGTGATTGTAGTGAACTAATTCTTCTTTCCGGCCACATTCAACAGCCCTGAGGCGCGCTTTAGAACCAACGTAACTTAGCGTTTGGTCCATGCAAGAGTCGCTGTTTTGAGGAATCGGCTAAACGTATGAGAGCGGCTTACCACAGTAAAACGATAGACAAAGGCAGCAGCCATCGTTGGAAAAACAGCTTAGCAGTTGACCGACGGCTTCACCAAGCGGCATTATAGCAGATGAACTGTACGATGGCAACGTACCCCTTATCTGCGTAAAATATAATATATGCACGATCTAACAGCTGGTGTGTTGCTTAGTTGCTAACGTACTGTGCAGCTATAGATGTGCCGCGAAGGTTACTAGTGTACCGCGGAACTGCTATCGTGCCGCTTATCTGTCGAGTGAACAGTCCAAAGTGTTATGTGAGCGTCCGTGACCGTCTGGAAAAACAATGACACTATGTGTTTATGTGGGGATGCTGCAAGGCGACGCCAGGGGCCCCCTGCAATTGACAGTTCACCCCCTACAGTAACCAAAGAGTTACGTAAAGCCAATTATGACCCCAACAATGTTTTCGATGGCAAACATTGTTGTTTTGATAATATCTTTGTATTTTTTCAAGGAGTATAAGCTATTATTCCCTCCCGCAAAATAACAATGCATTTATACATTGGACAAAGCCACGGGGCACACTCAACAAAGCACTCGAACATTCACAATTCATATATTCCCGTCCAACTTCCGAGAGCAACAGCCCTTCTTATAAATGTCTGCTGCTTCTCCACTGCCTTCCATATGAAAACATGTCAAACTTGAACCAAAAAATCATCGTATCCGTCGTCAAAAACCTGGAAGAGGCTTATATCCCGCTCATCGAAATGCTGGATGCCAAGCAGGATCTTCTTAACATCTATCGCGAGTTGCATGCTCTCCTCGCTTCCGTCATCGCAGCTAGGCGATCATACGATCAGCTTTCCACGCGGTATCATGCCGTGCCGCGTTGGGTTTTCAAGTCCGCTGACCTTGAGCCGGGCCACCTGTTCATGGGCGTAGGTGAGTTTGTGGGTGGACTACCCGCATGTGCTTTTGTACTCGAGACGGTCGAGGAGAATATGACTAATGCGCAGCGTTATATGCATGCTGAGGATTGGGTGAAGATTCGAGGCCTGATTGGGTACGGGAAGATGAACATTGGCATTTTGCAGGGACTGTTGGATAGAATTACAGTGGCAGTGGAGGGACATGAGAGGGTCAGAGATGAGTCCGCCACGGATTTTGGGGACGTTGAAGCTGAAGAGGTGGTGACCATTCAGTTGAGATGCTCTGTGACTTTGCCGTTCAGATAAAGTGTTGTAGCTCCAAACTAAATTTCCATTGCCAAATTATCTTTCTGCCCTTCTCATATGGTTTTCAATGGTGACCATAAGTGTTTGTCACTTTGTGCGGTCACCTGTACAGCTTGCCGCCGTCAGAATTGTTGGATTCAAGCATCGCCGCTAGCGCGTATGCAGGGCACTTGCATAGCAAGTCAGCGATACCTCCTACACTACCGGCTGCACCCTAGGTTTTTCCCTCACAGAGGTTTTCCCTCAGGGTCATGTCATATGTGACATGGTGAATACGCCCCGCTAGTGTACGACGCGACGTCACCGGCCCACCGGTACAGAATTTTCATTCCGAACGTCCCCTCATTTGAAATAGTCAATTGACACTACCATACTGCAACTGGTATTTTTGACTCACATACATCTACATCTTTCCTGTCCCTGATTCCGTCTATCGCTCCGTCCTCTTCGAGTCGCTGTGCACTCTCACCCACGAGATCTAAATCTCTACAAGAATGCCCATCGCTATGAGCGATTTCATATCTTCTGCTCCATGTCACGCATTGTTAGTCTTAATGTCCCCTGACCCCGACATGAGAATCATGTATAAGGGTGCGTTTGGTCTCTGGTTGGAGGTGTAGATCAGGATAAATTACTCTGTTGCTTGTTCCGATCCCAAATGGGTATAGAACACCCTACTGTCGCTACATCGGTAGCTTTATCGCTTTTCTGTCGTGTCGAAAACAGATATGACCATCAGTGCTCATAAATCTTGATGTTTGGGGCACTGACGGAGAGTATGTTTCTTTATACTCAGCACTAACGCTACAATTCTGACCCAAGTCCGCAATGGTGCATTTTGCCATAGATCGCAACATGTTGGCTATTAATGGATTCATGAGCAATCAAGAAGGGTATATTATGAATCTTCAAAGCATGAACTACTGAGACAACTGATGTTAGGCTATTCCAAGCCGTTGTCTATGGTGTTTTGGCGCATTTCAGAGATCACCTAGAAGCACCTATGTATGTACGCAGTGGGATAACTACCTACACGGCTAACCACGCTCAATATTGCGGGAATACCCTATATCCCCGCAATATTCCATGCTATGTTTCATGCATTATTGTGGGGATATACCTTTACCCCAACCCGATTTGTCTGAAGATCGCCCGAAAATATATCACTTTGACGGAAGTTTAAGCATTATCGCGTCATATGCGATGGAGAGTAATGTTCTGTCTCGATAATGGGTGAAGGTATAATGTCGATTCTAACTGCATGAAACTCTTGCTATATAATCATACATCCGTCTTGATAACGTGTGCATGTATGAACCAGCGATCGTGCCTGGATTCGTCATGCTTCCGTTTAGCTCATTCAATGTGTCGTCTCTTCACACGGTGTGCAGATGGCACCCAAGTCCATCAGCATCCGCTGCCGCACAGATGCTGCACGTTGAGAACAGCCATAATATCAGGCAGCAAGGACGTCAGGTTCCATCCTGCAGGTGCAATGAGCTTGTGACCTTCAACCACACTGAACTCTTCAGCCTCGGACTGCGGGGTGGCTTCCTGAAAGGCCTCCAACAACGCAATACCTCCACCTCGGAGTGTCTCACGCAAGAAAAATCGGATGCGGAACAAAGCTTAGCCCTAGTTGGCGGATTGTACGAAGGATCCAATACGGCAGGGATGTAATCCGCTCATCCGATGGTACCTTTGATATTGGCCATGTTCCCAGGGAACCACGTATTGATCATGAAGGTGGATATGTAGAGCTGAATCAATTGTATCATCGCTCACGTTCCTCTCCCTCCATAATTGGCAATTTCCCGGGCCTTGCACTGTCCGCAACCCCCAAAATCCTTGAACCAGTGAGGAGCTGAAAAGAGCGACAAGACTTCGACCTGAATAGGTCATATGGGTCTGATTGACCGGCCACTAGCCTCCCGCTGCCAAGTGGAGTGCTCCAGAGAAAATGCTGTACCTCCCTGCGATGTCCAAAGAGTAAGCCTGGCGGTTGGTGTGCTCCCCGTTTCCGCGCAGGTGTTTGTTCGTGCACTCGTGCGTCTTGCACTGAGCACCGATAATGGGCCCGAATCTTCTGACCCACATCACCACATGACAAAGCAAGTGAAGTTTGACCTTGCTGCGTATGTAGTCAAGGCCCCACATGTCCGCCCAGTTGCAAATCATTTCTTCGTATGTCTGCTGA